CAGTGCCTCACCCTCATCCTGCAGAGCGCAGCACGGATACCCCACACCTCGGCCAGGCCAGAGCCCAGCTCCTTACCTTGTTCTCTGCAGAATGTTTTGTACTAATCCCAGGTTCCAAGAGGCACCATGGGAACCTCAGCTATGCGGCAGTTGGGGCTGCCTTTGCCTCATCAGTGCGTGTGACCAGCTCCTCGCACATGAGCTGTATTATAGCAATTCCTTTGTTAACGCCCACAGAACGCCTGCATTGAATTAATACAATGGCTCTTAAAAATTTGATTAATGAAACTCATCTCTGTTGTCCCTTAAAAGCCTTTGGACCTGATGGGCACTTGGCTGGCACTGGAGGCCAGGGTTACTAAGGTGGGCATTTTGCTTGTCCTTTAAAGAAACCTGGATAGTAGAGCTCCGTGCCAGCTAGCTCAATTGCCTGCCTTGCAAATCATCTACACTGGGGCCTTGCAGACCTAAGTGCTCTGTGCCTTGCCTTCTTCATCTGTAAAATGGGTTATATGGGAGTGGGTATTTGGCTCAATAACTCAAGAATTCACATGGAACACCAGTAGCCCATATCACAGCTCCTGGGTTCAAGTCTTGGCTTCGCTTCCAACTCAGTTTCCTACAATGCACCCCAGGGAAAGTAGATGCTGGCTCAGTGTTTAGGCCCCTGCCACGCCCACAGAGTCCAGGACTGAGTTCCAGGCTTCTGACTTCACACTGACCTAACTTCAGCTTTTGTGGGCAATGAGTGAGCCAGTATGTGGATGATATCCTCCCCACCTCCTCTTTCTCATACTCTCTTCCATTCTTTCCAATAAAAGGAAAATAAATATTTTTAAAAATTTATATGGGGGTCCAATGTGGTAGCCTACCAGTTAAAGACCTCACCTTGCACATACCGGGATCCCATATGGGCACAGATTCTAATTCTGGTAGCCCCTTTTCCCATCCAGCTCCCTGCTTGTGGCCTGGGAAAGCTGTCGAGGACGGCCTAAAACCTTGGGCCCTGCACCTGCGTGGAAGACCCGGAGGCGGCTCCAGACTCCGAGCTCCTGACTTTGGATTGTGACAGCACCGGCCATTGCAGCTACTTGGGGAGTGAATCAGTGGATGGAAGATCTTCCTCTCTGTCTTTCCTCCTCTCCGCATATCTGACTTTCCAACAAAAATAAGTAAATCTTTACAAAATGTATTTGGGACTAATGGAAGATGATATCATATCTAAAAAAAAAAGATTTATTTATTTTACTTGATAAATCAGAGTTTTAGAAAGACGGAGAAACAGAGAGCTCTCCCATCTGCTGATTCCTTATCCAGATGGCAGCAACAACCAGAGCTGGGCTGATCAGAAGCTGGAAGCCAGGAACTCTTTCCGAGTCTCCCACGTGGATTGAAGAGCCCAAAGACATGGGCTTTCCCAAACCGTAAACAAGGAGCTGGACGGGAAGTGGAGCAGCCAAGACATGAGCCAGCACCCATATGGGATGCCAGCACTTTAGACGGAGGATTAGTCTGTTATACGGCCACATCAGCTCCATCATCACATTTCAATTCAAGCAGTGTGTGAGCCTGTGTGTACCTTAATACCTATGTTTTCTCATCATATATTCTTCACATGAATCTCTATCATGGTATTTAGGGCTGGAAGGGCAGACGATATCTGAGATTTGTCTGAGATTTATAGGAGAATCCTCCAAAATAACTCATAGAAAATAAAATATGAAGATAAATGATTTTGGCATAAAAATTTTAAGTCACAATTGCTTTTTATAGTATGCATAGATTTTTTTTTTCAGTGAACGCTTTGAAGAACCCTTAGGGCAGAGTATGCCGAGGCCAAGGAAGCCCAGATCAGCATGGCTTCTGGTTGGTGTTGGACCGCAGAGAGCATCCTTGTCAGACACTGAGCTGCAATGCAGACCTCACCCTGGGGCGAGCAGTCTGTGTGCGTGCAGAGTACACCACAAGTGATCTCAGGGTCAATCAGAAGCCACCACTTTTACCACCTGGGCCTGCTTCACAGACCACGTTTCCAGGGCGGGACTGACGTGTCCTAGAAAACACTTCCCCGTTCCTAATACAGCACAGGGCTTCCTGCTGCAGGAACATGCTAGAGTATGTTTAAAAATAAAGAAGGAAACAGTGCGGAAAATCAGTAGAAAGCTGTTCTCTCCAAAGAGTTAAGGACGGGGGAATGCGTTTTCCCAGGCGCCCTGGCACTCCTGGGTGCCGTGCCTGCCGCACCCAGCCCTGCGACTCTTGGGGATCCACTCATAGCAGCTCTGCTGGGGGACCCAGTGTGAAACCCACCCCCCATCCCTAAGGCAACACAAGGCCCAGGGCTTAGCAGCATTCTCACATCTGCAGGTATGTTTGGTTGAGTTTCAGTTCAACATCTGCACGGAGCCAGATCTTGCTCGGGATTCAGCAAAGCGGTGGCGGTGAGGGAGCAGAGTAGGTGGCTCTGTGCAGAATGGGAAATGGCCAGTGGATGTCCAAGATAAATCATCGTTAGAATAACCCTTTGATTGGGCTCTAAAGGTTACTTTCAAACTCCCTCAGGTGCCCAGGGAGCAAGGGAAAAGATCCCCCAAGGTCCTCGGACTTCCCAGGATGTGGTAAACTCTGCTTCTGCTAACCTGTAAGGCAGTTGGCTCAAGGACTTACAGAATGCTAACCTAACGCGGCTGTTCTGTCAGAACACAGCTTCCTGCTATTCTGTGTGGCTGCACCCACAACTGGGGCTACCCCAAAAGTGATGGCAAGAGAGTTCCCACAGGGACTCCCCAAACCAGCCCAAAATAAGGCCAATGGGTATTCCATAGAAGGAAGCATTAAATGCGAAAGCATCCAGGAGTGTGCAGCCATCCTGGTAAGGGTCAATGAGAAAAAGAGCCATTCTTCCCAGGTATGTCAGCAACCAGGCGTCAGCTATGGCATTCATCTGGGGTTGAATGGATTAGGTTAGACTCAGGGCTGATTTTTACATGCTAAGTACTGTTTTAGGTACTAACTTACCCAAGTTCAACAGTGTCTGGGCATGTCCGAGCCTCAGCTTGGGTTCAAGCACACGGGACAAGACACACAGCTGTCTAAATGACACAACAACCAAGTGAGGAGACCTGCATCTGGGAAGGAGAGTGCCTGCGTGAATAGGAAGATAGAGAAGGGCTTGATGCCCGAGCTAACCTTGCCCTTCTAGAATCAGGAGCTCAAGAACTTTCTGGAGGGAGCCCTGGAAGGCAGCTCAGCGTGGGTAGCGGCCACCGAGCAACCCATGTTGAGACTAGACCCTTAGGATGCAGCTCCACAGAACTGATTCAAAGCCTCACTTGGCCACAGATTTCCAGAACTCCATTTTCTCCACCTAAACAGGCAGGGAGGGCAGCCATGCTGTTGGCCAGCGTGGTGAGTGACAAGCTGGAGAGTACATTTCAATGCCTGGCTCATGAATACTCAGAAACTTAAGCTATTGTTATTCAATGCAGAGATTCCCACAGTCTTGCCACAGATCATCAAAGCTTTGAAGTATTCTAAGTGGGCTTGAGCAGCATTTCAGAAAAAAAAACCAACAGATTGAGTATTGATTGCAGTGTCTGGATGTCTCCTTTGGGGCAAGGACTACAAAAGGTACATCATGGTCCTCTTGAAAGCCTGGGGACGTGAATGTCTTACCCATCCCAATTTCTTAGAGATGAGGAAATAACTGTATCAGACTTTTCTATGGTGGGTCCACATAGCAATTTGTAATTTTAGTAAGTGCTCAGCCAGCCACAGATGCCCTATTCAGACAGTAGAAGTGACCACATGGTGAGTCAGACAAGGTCTGCCTTTTTCTTTTCTATCTCCTGTTGAAAGATCTCAGATAAAATGAAAGGAAATGGCAAGGTATGAAGAACAGGGCACAAGTGCAGCCAGGGATTCAACATCAGCTGCGCCACCTTTTACTCTGTGGCCTGGATATCATTTCATCTTTTAACGCTATCTTTTCCTGTGTGTTCTTCCATTTACTCAGTAAGTACTCTTGAGCTACAGAGTAAGTGAGGACTCTGGAATGTTTCTTGGAAGGGCCAGTACTGTGACACAGTGGACCAATAAGCCCCACTTCTAACACTAAGAGTACCAGCAACCCAAATGAGCACCAGTTAAATTCCTGGCCGTTCCATTTCCCATCCAGCTCCCTGCTCATGCAACTAGGAAAGCAGCAAAAGATGGCCGGCTGGAGTCCTTAGTCTCCTGTACCCACATGAGACCCAAAGAGAATTTCTGGCTCCTACCTGGCTTCAACTTGAGCCAGCCCTGGCCATTGCGGCCATTTGGGCAGTGAACTGGCATTGGAAAGATCTCTATCTCTTCCTCTCTCTGCAATTTTGCCTTTCAAATAAATAAATAAATCTTTTTAAAAGCTCATAGAAATGGAATTTAAAAATAAGTTCACCTTAGCATAAAAAAATAAAATCAATGCAATTTCTTTATTTCACAATATGCATTTTCCATGAACTTTTTAAAGACCACTTGTGTTACCCTAAATGGGCTGGAAATGTTTCAGAGAAGAAAGCGCACAAAACTATGGCCTTGGGAAACTTACATTCCTGTGGAAGGAGACTTGGAAGTGAACACAATAGATAAGTACACATGATAGGACAGGGATTGCGGTATCTAACTTCAGTGGGTCATGTGACATGCATCAGCACGCGGACTGGGGGGCACTTACTGCATTGTTGTGATTGTGATGTTTCCAATTGCTCCCACATTTCTTCAACTCCTATAAGCACCGTGTGTGTTATGTGCATGCAGGGTGGATCCATTTATTCATTCAGAAAACAACTCCTGAGCAACTATCAGGTGCTAGCATCTATCCCCAGGGTAATGAAGAATCTTGTAAGAGCACACGGGGTTCTTGCCCTTGGGAAATCACTGTCTGATGCCCTGCACAGCAGAGCCAGTGGGGAGGCAGGGAGACCTGGGCTGTGTGTTCTATAGGTCAGAGAAGTCGCCCCCACTGACGGAATCTTTTTCTTTTCTTTTAAACTCAGCGTATCCCCACTATGGCTGGAGACTCCAGGAATGCTATGAACCAGGATATGGAGATTGGAGTCACACCCCGGGACTCCAAGAAGATTCCCAAACAGGCCCGTGATGATGTCCCCATTGCCACAGACCGCACTCGCCTGCTGACAGAAGGGAAGAAGCCGCGGCAGCGCTACATGGAGAAGAGTGGTAAGTGCAACGTGCACCATGGCAACGTGCAGGAAACCTACCGCTACCTGAGTGACCTCTTCACCACCCTGGTGGACCTCAAGTGGCGCTTCAACCTGCTCGTCTTCACCATGGTCTACACCATCACGTGGCTTTTCTTTGGCTTCATCTGGTGGCTCATTGCCTACATCCGGGGTGACCTGGACCACGTGGGTGACCAAGAGTGGATTCCTTGCGTAGAAAACCTCAGTGGCTTCGTGTCTGCTTTCCTGTTCTCCATCGAGACGGAGACAACCATCGGGTATGGCTTCCGAGTCATCACGGAGAAGTGCCCCGAGGGGATCGTGCTCCTGCTCGTGCAGGCCATCCTGGGCTCCATCGTCAACGCCTTCATGGTAGGCTGCATGTTTGTCAAGATCAGCCAGCCCAAGAAGAGAGCAGAGACCCTCATGTTCTCCAACAACGCCGTCATCTCCATGCGCGATGAGAAGCTCTGCCTCATGTTCCGCGTGGGTGACCTCCGCAACTCCCACATCGTAGAAGCTTCCATCCGCGCCAAACTCATCAAGTCCCGGCAGACCAAAGAGGGGGAGTTCATCCCACTCAACCAGACCGACATCAACGTGGGCTTCGACACCGGCGACGACCGGCTCTTCCTTGTGTCTCCGCTCATCATCTCCCACGAGATCAATGAGAAGAGCCCTTTCTGGGAGATGTCCCGGGCTCAGCTGGACCAGGAGGAGTTTGAGGTCGTCGTCATACTAGAGGGGATGGTGGAGGCAACAGGTAAGATGCTTTGTACCCATCAACCACTGCATCTCCTGCGCACACTCAGGGCCTTAGGCCACCGGGACCCCAAAAGATGGAAGCTGTGTCTGAGGATCTAGAGAAAGAACAGCCCATCCCATCCCCAAACTGAAGGGCACTGTTGCTCAAGATGGAGCAAACACTGAGTCTTCCCCACTTTCAGACAGGCTTCCAGGCTTTAAAACACATAGTAGACCTTTGTCTTCCCATCCATTCCCCCAGTTAAGTAGTTTAAGGCAAAAAGGGAGAAACACATGCACAAATGGGTTCAATTGTTTGCCCAAGAGCAAGCACTAACTACCAAGTTGCACAGCAAGGTCGTGGACCCCAGCAGACTGTCACCCCACAACACACAAACCAACACATCCTGGCACGGGTGTAATCCCCAAAGGGGTCCTGCCATCAGAGGGATTTAGGAAGCTTGGGGTGACACTGGAGACTGACTTCAAACAGTAGGACTGAATGGGGCCTTTACATACTGTGGAGCTCAAGAAAGGGCCACATACAGCTGCCCCTGCCCCCCAAAACATGGCAATAACGCAGCCCTGGGTGAGGGGCAAGGCTCTTCTGGCCAGGTCCGCTCCAGAGCAGCCTGTGAGCCCCGAGCCTACAAGCCTGCTGCTGCTGACACAGCCATTCATACCTGAGCTTCAGCTCCCACAGACACCCCCAAAGAAAATGCTCCTTCCTGCTCAGTAGTTGATTCTCATGGACAACTGGTAGCCAGGAGCCTTCACCATCACAGCTCTGTGGGAGCACAACCTCGGCTGGGAACCAAGGTCTCTAACCCACATGCAGGGCCAAGTCTCCTGGCTGGCAGTCTACCAGCACAACCTTATTCTTGCCTAATCCTTCCTTTCTCCCTCCCTCCCTCCCTCCTTTCCTCCCTCCTTCCTTTCCTTCTTTCCTTCCCTCCTTTTTTCCTTCCTCCCTTCCTCCCTTCCTTCCTTTCCTTGTTTCTTCTTTCCTTCCTTCCCTCCTCTCATCTTCCTTTCTGTTTCTATCACAGAATAGGCAAAGCAGCCTGTCAAGCTAGGGAAATTGATAGGAAACTCACCCATGCTCAGAACAATGCTTCATTAAATCTTGCATACAACATGTGGGGCTGGCTTCATGCCTGGGTTATACATGCAGAGGCTGGCACTCACAAAGGATGACTGACACGGCCACTGCTTCCCTTGCGAATCCACACCGCACTGACCACCGAACCCATCAGGGGTCTGACTCCAACCAGGGTGGCTGAGCATGCCTTGGGAAGCAGCTTGCTGGACAGGGGATTCATGGGGCATCCACAGCCCTTCGCCATGTTGAATCTAGTGAAAAAGGATGGGGATTGCTAGCGGCCTTCCTGGACTGGTGCCATCTGCTGTGAGCCAGAGCTTGGGAAGGCAACATATGGTGGCAGCCACAGTGTCTCCTGGGGTCCAGGTCAGCCAGGATATGGAAGCTTCCTCCTGCAGAGCGGGAGCTCCCAGGTCACGTTGCGCTTGATGGGAGCACCAGCTGAGTATGCACAATGGAGGAATTTGGTCAGAGACTTAAGGAGATTCAAAGCCACACTTGACTCCACGCTCCTGCAGAACCCTCTCTGATCTCACCCATGGGCCACACACAACAGAGGAAGCAGGAACTGACCTAGGCCAGGGTATTCCTTTTCTCAACTCCCTCAAAGTCACTGGCCCTCAGCTACCTTATTTTAACTGCTTGACTTTCTTCCCTGCTAAGGAGGGCTATCTGACCTGTCCTAGCACTTTCCATGAAATTGTAGGGGCCACCCAGATAGATTAGGAACACAGATCATCTTCACACATGTGTGTGATCTCAGTGGTCTGGAGTGCTGGGTAGTCAAGATCATATAGGCAAGAAGGTATGAAACTAAACCTTGATTAGAGCAGTAGTGCTCTGCCTTCGCTTCCCTGTGTACACTTATGCAAGATGCTTAGCTTACCACCAGGGTAAGGAGTCAGTCTCAGTGCTGGATGGATTAGATGATGACATCATCATCAGGTGTAGAGCCTACACCAAGGCTGGAGAACTCTCCCAAACACATGGAAGGGGGACAGCAGCTGCATGTGTTTAGGGATACAAGTAGGATCACTAATGCAGGGCAACCCGGGCCTCATCCCACAGGATGACACAGGAAGAACAGGAAGAGCCCAAGGGGGCAATCCAAAAGACTCTCACGGAGGTCCCAGTTCCTTGCCCCATTGTGAGCTCTGGGTCCTGTAGGCATCTTGCCTGTCTAGACCAATGAGCACTGAATTTATGTGCCGATAACTTTGCTGAAACTGGAGACCAGCAAGCAATGAAGGGTGGGGCCCAATCCAGAGGAGGGAGCAGCTAGGAGCCCACTGTGTATGGAGGTGCACTCGGAGTGCCAAGGTCCTGAAGCAGCCCTTGACTTGAAGTCTCCCAGGGAGCAGCTGCAGAAGGCGGCTTTTTCTGCTTCCAAACAACACGAGCCTGCATCTTGGCCAGAAGAGCTGCTTTCCTGCGACCCTGAGAACAGACACTTCCTCATCCATAAACAAAGCTCCCCTCCCTCTCTGGAGAGTACCTAAAAATAGCACAGGCATGGCAAGGGCTGAGTGGACAGGGAACGGATGCACTGGAGCATCCTTAAGCAAGAAGCCAGACTGTGTGTGTGTGTGTGTGTGTGTGTGTGTGTGTGTGTGTGTGTGTGTTGAATTCCACCTGATGGAAGTCCCAGCTCATAGAAGACTGTGCAGATGCTGTCCGTATGTATCCACTCAAATAGATTCCGGATGTTATAATGCCTAGGGGCCTTCCTAGTGTACTCACTGTGAATTTGTCTTTGTTCAAACCCTTTTTCTGTCTTTTGCTGACTTCATCCTCAAGCTTTGTCAAACACTAGTTCACAGAATCATGTGTTGAGATCTAATTTTCTGCCCTTCTACCACCTGGAGCTCCTCCAGAGCAGGTACTACTTCTAATTAAGCCTTACACTGCCAGTGTGCTTAGTATGTAAGCGAATGCTCAGCAAAGGTTTGACATGTGGAAGGAAGGAAGGGAAAGAGGGAGGGAAGGAAGGAGAAAGTGAGGAAGTAATAACGGAAGGACACATGATTGGCTGGACAGGTGGATGATGAGTTGAATGCATAGAAGGAAGACAGATAGATGACTGCATCTTAATTTATGTGGACTTGTTTTCCCAGGCATGACTTGCCAAGCGCGGAGCTCCTACATGGATACAGAGGTACTCTGGGGCCATCGATTCACTCCAGTCCTCACCTTAGAAAAGGGCTTCTATGAGGTGGACTACAATACCTTCCATGACACCTATGAGACCAACACACCCACCTGCTGTGCCAAGGACCTGGCAGAGATGAAACGGGAGGGCCGGCTCCTGCAGAGCCTCCCCAGTCCCCGCCTGCTGGGGGGCTGTGCTGAGCCTGGGCTAGATGTAGAGGCTGAGAAAGATGGAGAGGATGAGCCTGAGGATATCCATGTCTCCCGGGATACCAGGGGTTCAGTGTGAGGGGCACACCCCAAAGCCTCCCCAGAGCACACCAACACTCCGGAGTGTTGGGTCAGGGAGGGTTGATGGCTGATTGAGGTTTATAATGGGTTCATGGGCTGTCGAGCCTCAGAGGGGAAGAAAGAACCCTCACACCACCCACCTCAGGACTGCCCTGAGCAGGCAGTCTCTGGTTGGGGCCCGTCCTCTGTCTGGGCTGGCTGGAGGGCAAGCCAGACAGGTTTCCTCTCCTACAAGAGGAGCAAGGCTGCCCCATCTTCTTTCTGTCAACTGGTCCACAGTTGCTTCTCTTCTTGAAACTTGGAGAGCCCTTCTAGGTCTGACAGTCTCCACCTGAGGCTTCTGGTAGATTCGGACAGGAGGGGTTCTCTCCAATGTGATGGTAGCGGTTCCAACAGTTGGCCCAGGGTGAGCTCACAGAGCCTGTGTGGCCTAAGGCCCATACAAGCCCCTCTGAAATCTGAAGCCCACAGCCTCCTGCTGAGAACCACACAACAGAGACCATGGCCTTCTCTTGTCACCTACCAAGAGTTTTTCTCCTGTGTGTTTACATGTCCACTGTCACCCACCTGATGATGCACCTCATTAGCCTGAGTCTTCAAGGGGGCCTGCACCCCCGAGCCAAGGGCTAGCTTCCACAGCTGGCTTGCTCCGTCCCTCTGGGCCCCAACTCTGCAGTGCACTTCTAACCTTTCCTATAGTTCTTTCGCCATCTCAGAGCCTGTGGTGTGAACTGATAGAAAACCAAGTGTCAGAGGGCTAAGTAGATTTAGTTGGCCCTGAAGCAGGCAGCAAGGAAAGCCACAGTGACCTTGAGATAAGCATCTGAGCCCACTCCCACCCCCAAGAAGGCCTGGCCGCAAGGTGGACACCTGAACTGCCCAGGTGAGTAATAGGTCCTGAGGTGACAGTGATAGGAGCCCACAGTGGTGGCTGCACTCATTTGGTAGGCGCAGGTTGAACTACATTCTTGGACTTACATGAGGAGCTGGCAGGCCTTCCCCTCTGTAGGGCAGGAGTCAGGGTCAGGCAGGGCAGGGGCAAAACCCAGGGAAAGAGGGGGAGGGCTGCTCCCGCTTACCCTGGAATTGAGGTCAGGGAGGCAACTGTTCAGTGGGAAACAATTGAGAGGAGTGTTAAGGTCAAAGTTGTGAGCTTTTGCCTTCCAGTCCAGAGGTCCAGACAGCAGCATGAGGATGGGTGATGCAGACCGCCAGGCTTGTGAAGCAGGGACAGGGATGAACTCCTGTTGAGCTGCCCTGACTGGGAGCAGGGATCCCCATCCCCAGGCACACTCCCAGCTGAGCATCCCATGTCTCATGCCCGAAGTCCCTCAGGCTGGGTCCTGGGGCTAGAGACAAGAGGAGGGAGGTGGTATGGAAGGGGACCCACCTGCCACTCCAAGGCTGCTCACACTCAGGGGAGGGCCCTTGTGCTTGGCACCTGGCTGGACCTTGACAGCAAGGACAGGGCAGCAGTGGGCACATGAGGCCACCCCTGCAAGGGCAGACCTTGGATCGTGCCTGCAGGCATCTTTCTGCATGGAGGGACTGGCACCCACCCTCAGTCAGAAAGGGAGGTGGGCAGTTGACCTGCACCCTCCAGAGGAGCTGATGCCATTGGCAGTCTGAGGCATGATACCCACCACAAACCGGGATGCCTTGGTTGTATATGGGCTGGTGGAGAGGGAACCACAGAGCCAGCATTCCCTGCCTCCACTCAGGCTCCCCGGATCCCAGACCTTCCCAGCAGGGCTGTTTGCACACCTAAAGCTGGCCTGAGTCAGACATGGGCAGCACCCAAGGAAGGCAGCCAGGTAAGACTGGAACACCTCTGGGAAAGCTGCTTTGGCAGCTGGACCTCGACAAGGTTCCAATTCACACTGGCCTCGAGGTAGCATACTGCCTCATTCCCCATTCTGCCAAGGAAGTGCCTCTCTAGTTCTCTCACCCTGATTCCATGAGTCAGGGTCAAATCACAGCTGTCAGCTCACTCTGGAATCTTTGGAGACTGACGGGGGAAAAGCAGACCAGCATAGCCCTGCTCTGGAGCCCCGTGAAGGCCAGGGCCCATGGAGACTGGGCTTAGTAAATCGTTAATCCCCAGGTGCTGATTTTGCTTCCCATCATGGAAAGAAGTGACAAGACAAAACTATACACACCCCTTTCTATCCCAGATAAACCTTGTTCTTGGCAACCAGTTAATAACAACAGGAGTTTGGAAAGTTCAATTCTGAGGACAGCCAGTCTTCTAGCTGGTCGTGCTCCTATGCACAGGCCCCTGTGAGTGAGCAGCTCTGAGCTGGCCACCCAACACCGCCATGGACAACTGTGCCAGGTGATATCCACCATCTCAGCATGTCTAAAATGTGCAGACCCTCCAAGTCTGACCTTGACTTCCTGCCTTAATGTTCAGTTTCTTCCTTTCTGTAAGGCAGAAGCCTCCGGGAACCCAGAAGACAGGCCCCTTTCTTTCCCTCCCCCAGGTCTCCATCCCCACCAGTCGGCCCTGCTGTAGGTGTTGCCGCCTTTGCCAGGTGCAAGGTGGGCAAGCACTGCACAGCCAGGGAGTCCACTGGCCATCACTCCCCTAGCAGCTTTAGATCCCTGCCTAGAACACTTGGCCCTGGTGGAAGAGAGAAGCTGCGTCTGGCTGGGGAGTGACCTGCAGCAACTGGGCCCCTTATTTCACAGCCCTTACTCACGGCCTCCTTCCCACTGGCCTCCATGGTGTGTCTCAGGAGAGGTAAGGGCTACAGAAACTCAAACAGCTTGCATTGAAGTTGCCAAAGAAGCAAAAGTCACACCGTTGTCATCTAAGTTTCTGTCCTGAAGCCATTCCACAGTGTCCCACCTGTGCCCTGGGCACCTGTTGCATGCCTGGCACTGGGCTGGCTTCACCCTGGTATATACCCTTGATTCTTCAAACACTGCAAAGAAGCATAGAGTCTCCCTTGGGTACCAGCGAGACAGCAGTGGTTGGAGAGCATCATGCATTTGCTCAAGGCCACAGACAATGAGGCAGAGCTTTGGTGCCAAGTTCCTCCCAAATAGACATCGAGGAGCCACCTTGTGGCATAAACACCGCTGTCTGCAGCGGCTGGCGACTGGCGGGTTCAGCAGCAGAACCAAGCTGAGCCCCCTCCTCTAACCACAACTTAGGGCTCCGGCTCCTATCCCCCGGCTGTGCCTGCCCTTGGCAGCATAATTGGGAAGCACCTTCTTCTGATTCCCAGGAACTAACGAGCTGTGAAAAGAGATCAGATGGGAAAGAATTGCTTCTCAAGAGAAGCCGCTTATCCTGCTCAGCTTTCTGCTTGCTAATGACATCTCCTTAAATTGCCGTGTCAAATCTCTTTCTCTCTGTGTAGGATTTATCAATCTCCTTATGAAAAACAACACCACCGCACTGTTACACATTTACCCAATAAAATGGATTTGGCCTTACGAGACTCTTTCTCATGTTTAAGTAGATGATCACTGCTTTTCCTGAGCAAATTCACTTCCAGTTCCAGCAAATGTGCCCTTTGTGTTTCTGTCTACTTAAAAAGGTAATGTCAACATCAAGACTGGTGTTGAGAGGGTCATATGCGCAGAGGTAGGGGGAGGGGAGGGCAGAGGGTGGGATAGGTACACGGGTGTTAGGACTGAGCCTCTGCACGGAAAGCACAGGGAAGGACCCACTCTACCCCCAGATCACTCGCATGCAATGCTGTGTCCGATATTCAGAATCCGCATGACCTAAACTAACTGTGGCCATTGGCTTTCCATTAGTATAACAAAACACCTGAAGCTGGGCACGTACAGAGGCCAGAGCTTGAAACAGGTGTTTGTTCCAGTGCTCATGTACCAAGCTAACTTACTTATAACACACAGCATAGTACCTGGGTTTGAAAACCAGCTGCATCCTGATTCCAGCAGCCTGCTGGTGCACACCATGAGAGACGGTGGGGAACGCGCTAGCAGCTGAGTGTTTGTCACTCCTGTGTCCCTGACTGCTTTGATCTGGCCCAGCCCCAGCCACTGCTGAAATGTGGCTCCATCTCTATTCCTACATGCCTCTCTCTTTCTCTGCCTTTCAAGTACATAAAAATAAAAAACAAAATGAACAGAAATATATTTAGAAGAGTTTTGGAGGTTGAGAATCCAAACCTAAGGTACCAGTTCTTGCAAAATACCCCTAGCTGCATTCCTTTATGGTCCCATAGTGGCCAGAGTTTGCCATCTTCATTTTGGGAAAGAATGTGGGGTCAGATAGGAAGTCAGAGAGGAGGAGGAGCCAATCTTGCCACCACCCCCACTAGCTACACCTCTTAAAGGTCCCATCACCTCTCAACACCACACTGTGGACCAAGCTCACAACAATAGAAACCCTTGAGGGCACACTGAAACCAAGTCCAATTCCTGGCAAATTCCATCATGAGTAACTTAAAAAGATAACCATGCCAGGAACCCCTGCACTAGTGCCCTGCATCCATGCCATAAATGCACAAAGTGATGTTGCTAAACACAAGGGGGGTGGGGCAGAGGAAGCTCGACAGTGAATGCTGGCAGAGCTGGTGGAATCTTTAAGGAAGACAACGGGATTGCTATTGGAAATATCATGAACAACAGAGGATGTGAGGCTCCCAGGTGGATGGCGGGCAATGCCTTCAGGTCCAACCTGACAAACTGGTTAACTGAAGATTCCAAATGGAAAGCCAGTGCCCAGTCGGTCCTGGCAGCAATGATGGTAAAACAGACCCCATGCCGGGGTTGAAAGCCAACAATTCCATAAGCCAGGGAGTTCCAGGAACAGCTAGGGTTGCCCTATAGGGAAACCCCTTGCCTGGGGACTATACTATACAGCTGCCCTTAGTCAGAATGGGGACAGCAGAACAGGGGAAGAAAAGAGTACCCAAGTGGGTACATGGCCTTCCAAGTCTGGATTGGAATTTAGGTAAAAAGAACAAACACAGATATCTAATAAAAGCAAAACCCCCAGCATTACTCTCAGAAAATTCCACCCCAGCCTACAAGTTCC